GAATAAACTTATAAATAAATACAGACACACTCACATGTACAAAGAGCTCGTCCTTAGCCCAGGAGAGATCAGTGATAAGTACATGAGCTCATAAATAATAGATCTACAGAGTATGCACAACTGTGACCTTGACCTTCACAGTTACTCTTGGCGCCCATGTTCTATACCACAAAGCCTCCCCTGGTGTCACAGTCAGAGATGGACCACTATAAAAACTCCATGGCCCCTTTTGTATAAATGAAGGCCCTATCCCTGCACTTGAGGAAATAACAGACCAGGTTTATGAGTAGGTGGCATTATCTGGCATTACCCTTGGAGTAGAATTTTAATTACTTAAAGGCCACAGCCTGGCTGTCCCTGTTACTCTCAAACTTTTAAATAGAAATAACCCTTTGACCAGAAAATCATCCTCCTGAGTGTTTATCTTGCTCACGGGTTCCCTCCCCCATTTTTACTGGTTTACATACAGTAATTAGTTTGCACTGTTTCATTCATGTACATTGTGCTTTATACAATCTTTCATTTACATTGTGTTTTATACAAACACTTACATACATTGTATTTTGTATTCATTACTGTTGATCTATGCCTTTTATTACTCCTCATTTGAGTCCCCATTGAATCTGTTTTCACACACGCACACTCCATCCCCTTACTAATCTCTGCCCCCCCCTTTTTCTGCAGCCTCCTTTTTCCCTTTCCCTTTGGACATTTATACAGCTCTAACTAGTTGTCCTGCTGTTTTCACAATAATGGTCTTGTGCAGTATTTGTCCTGATGTGCCTGAATTAGCTCACTCAGCATGATGCTTTTTAGACTCTTCCATGTTAGATAGTATTTTATAAAATGATTACTTAGTGTTTCGTCATACTCCATTGTGTGAATGGTACCGCAGTTTCTCAGTCCATTTGTTTGTTGATAGGCATTTGGGCTGCTTCCATTTTCTTGCTCTTGTGAATAACACTATGTTTGCATATCTCCATTTGTGTCTCAGTTTTCATTTCCTTGGGGTATATTTCTAGCAGTGGAATAGCTGGGACATACAGGACTCTTATGTTAAGATTTTGGGAAAAGACCAAACTGCCATCCAGAGTGGATATACCATTTTACAATTCCACCAGCAGTGCATAAGAGTTCCAATTTTCCCAGATCATCTCCAATATTTATTGCTTGCCGTGCTTTGAAAATTTGCTACTGCTACTAGGGTGAGATGGTATCTTCTTGTTCTTTTATTTTTTAATATGGGAAAAATGACATGTACATTTAGCCTAATAGCAAAAGGTTGGAAACCTGAGAGACAAGTCATTAGAGCACTGGTCAGTCAGGTCCAAGTGTCTTCACTCAGTGCAGTACCATGCAGCCATTAAAAAGAAAGTCAGTCTCGCACGTGCCTTTTTTTGCTTCTAATGAGGCAAGAAGCCAAGGGGCAGAAGAGTATCAGTCATATACATTTAAAGGGAAGGATGTGTACACACATCCACACTTACTTCAGAAACATAGATGACTTAGGTGGACCGCAGGCTATTCAAGAAGGTGGCCATCGTAGTTCTCTCTGGGTTGAGGGACTGCAAAAGGGGGCTTCACTCTCTATCTTCCCTATTAAATAACCAGAAAATTACAGATTCTCTTGAAAAGGGTTAATTTCAAAGAGATTGAGTGTTAACAGTATTATTGTGCTGTCAGACCTAGTTCCACTCCTAA